TGGTTTAAATAAAAATTTAAAGCTAAATACTCCAAATGATGTGTAATATTGCTTACTGCAGCTATCACCACAGGAAAAAAAAAAAATCTCTGCTTTAGTCTTTTGTCAGAAACACAAAGAAAATATTGCCCATCACAATGAAAGGTACTGGGAATTAGAGATTATTTCTCTCCAATATACTGCAGGCGTATATTACCAGACATATATAGTCCATAGTTCAGGTGACTATCCTTAAAACTTTTTTTAAAGGAAAAAAGAAAGATAGGAAGGAATGAAAACAGAAATTGGAATCAGGGAGGTCCAGAGAAAGGCAAAAGTTAGGACAGATGGGCTAGAGGGCTGCCACAAGCGCAGACTGAAATGAATGGGATGACACAGTTTAGAAACACGAAGGCTGAAAATGGACATGCTGGATATTTCTAGGATGTAAAGATCTGAATACATCTTGGAAAAGCAGTAATATTCCCCAACTCTGGAGCTTGAAAGAGATACATTAATAAACAAATAGAAGAAAATACTATTTTAACATTACAATGCCCATTCTTGGGTGATATTCTTAGACGAAATATTAGACATCAAGAGTCTCAAGACTATAAAAGGCCACAGTTGGCATCAGATTAATTTTGAAAAGATATAAGGATAGGAAAAGCAGCATGCCAACAGCATAGCCCCACAGGTTTTTGTTTTCTGGGCTAGTCTTTGACCCTCCACATGACAGTTCAGATGCGAGAGAATGAGACTACTGTAGGTAGATGCAGTAGCCACCCTACCTGAGAAACCATGTCCCAAACAGAAACCAATACGCTGTGACAGTCTCAGCTTCTAGGTCCCTGTAAAGAATGTGCCCAGTTATAAGAGTTTTCTCATTCAGAGAAGCCCAAAGTTAGGGCTTCCTATCAAGTATTTGTGGTTCATTCTTAGTCTTCCAAGTAAAGATTCAGCTTGCCAATCAAATGTCACTTTACCACATTATCATTTTATCATAGCAGTGTTGCTTGGTAACACAACTGACACTCTACCTCCATTAGATTTCCAGAAAACTGAGCAAGAAGCTTCTTAACCCAAGGCCAATTTCTCATGTAAAAGGGGAAAGAGTTTTGTGAAATCTTTACTAACAAGCATAATGAGTCTTAAACTCAGTTTTTACCTCCAAAAATAGTACTGGCAAGAAACAGAAATGAATTTGGACAAACTCATGAATAACATGGTTAGAAGCAGCTTTTCAGAAGTAAGTAAATAGCTAGCCTATAAAGTTGCCTTCATAGAGAGAATGATTTCTACTCAATGTTATAATCCATAAGACTGCAGGAGTCACTGTTTTTTTTTTTTTTTTTTTTTTGAGACGGAGTTT